ATACATGAAGATGACTTTGAATCAATTACTAGTTGAACTGGATGGATTCAAACAAAACGAGGGAATCATTGTGGTAGCTGCCACTAATTTTCCCGAGTCATTGGATAAGGCACTTGTAAGACCTGGACGGTTTGATCGTCACATTGTTGTCCCAAACCCTGATGTTGAGGGGCGAAGACAGATCTTGGAATCCCACATGTCGAAGGTATTGCCTTTTATTTTATTTTTTACATGATAAGACTAAAAAGGTAGGATCATGTATGGTTTATGATTTCCTGTTAAACAGTATGATCCACATTAGGGCCGTTTTTTTTTTGTCTTTTTTTAAGTCTTGATTACCTCACTTTAATGTACAATAAGAGCACAGTAGATAAAAAATCAAATATCTGGCTACGTCATCTACAGAAAGTTATCTTGTCCTCTAAAACTGGCAACACAAACTACAACCACAAGAAGTAGCATCTAAGCATTGTTTGGTTTGCAGATTTTTTTAGAGTGGGTGCAAATTTGGTTTTTCGAAATTATTGATGTATATTAGGGTAATCCGTCAGAAAATAAATATCTCCTTGGCTAAAAAATGTACTGTATTATTTTCTGTATACCAGAAAATATTGTATTTTGTCCAATTTAAGTTCTTTTCATCATTGATGTAATGCACCCAACCTATACAGCTAAACATTTTTGTAATTGCTTACATCCAATTAAGTGTTGTTCATTGACAGGTATTGAAGGCAGATGATGTTGACCTTATGATCATAGCAAGAGGAACCCCTGGATTTTCTGGTGCTGACCTTGCAAACTTGGTAAACATTGCTGCTCTCAAGGCTGCAATGGACGGCTCCAAAGCAGTAACAATGGGTGATATGGAGCACGCAAAAGACAAGATCATGATGGGAAGCGAGCGCAAGTCTGCCGTTATATCGGATGAGTCTAGAAAACTCACAGCATACCACGAGGGTGGACATGCTCTGGTGGCCATTCACACCGATGGTGCTCTACCTGTCCACAAAGCCACCATAGTCCCCCGAGGTATGGCTCTCGGCATGGTTTCCCAACTGCCAGATAAAGACGAAACCAGTGTGTCCCGTAAGCAGATGCTTGCCAGGCTGGACGTTTGCATGGGGGGACGAGTTGCGGAAGAGCTGATTTTCGGAGAGAATGAAGTCACTTCTGGTGCTTCTAGTGATCTACAGAAGGCAACTCATCTGGCTAGAGATATGGTGACAAAGTATGGGATGAGCAAACAAGTGGGAGTCGTCGCACACGACTATGATGATAATGGGAAGAGCATGAGCACCGAGACTAGGCTCCTCATTGAGAAGGAAGTGAGAGATTTCTTAGAGAATGCATATAACAATGCCAAGACTATCCTCACTACACACAACAAAGAGCTTCATGCTCTAGCTGGTGCATTGCTTGAGCATGAGACGCTCACTGGTGGCCAGATTAAGACTCTACTCTCGCAAGTCAGTGGCTCTCAACAAGCCCACCAACAGCAGCAGCAGCAGTTGTTTCCTGTGCAGAGCAGTACGACATCCAAACCTAATCCCGTCCCCCCTTCCACTCCTAATCCAGCAGCATCTGCAGCGGCAGCTGCAGCGGCTGCCGCTGCTGCCGCTACTGCAGCTGCCAAAAGTAAAGGAATAGCCCCTGTCGGGTCTTAGTTTTTGAGTAGTGGTGCTGCAGCTACCAGTTTAAGAACCAATGTTGAGTATATATTATATGGTAGAAGAATTATGTTTGGGGATTACTTAAAGGCGTCAACGAAAGAAGCTGTAGCATCAGGTTAAAAAGAACATAGCGAGCCTTAAATGTTGTGAATTGATTGTTAGAACTCGCATTTAGCTACGTTTGTCAAGTGTAACTGTCTTCATATTCAACACTCGTTTCTCCTTTATTCCCTCCAGCCAAAGGTTTGAACTTTAAACCTACACAAAGCTATTTGATGTTTTTACTCTGTTTTGGTCATTCAGCACATCATAAAATAAATGAATGTAAAGAAATACTGCAAACAAGAATCGAGCTTTTGTCATTTACGACAGCCAAATACTCCGTATTAATCTTAGAAATGGTTACTGTTGGAGCTGGTTTGGAAATTTTAGTGAAGGAGAACTGGAGAAGTGTCAAATTAATTCTAAAAGTGGCTATTTAAAAGTTTGGAAGAAAAGTTAAAATTTGGGAAAGTAGATTCAAGTCTAGAGAAATAAAAACTCAATAGGGGGAAGTTTTGCGCAAATTATATCCTACACTTGGACGATCTCCAGCCACGAACGATCTCTGGTGGCGAGCGTAGATCCAGACCGCGAGCCAACCTCCAGTATTGCCGTATCGGCGATGAACGAGGAGCGGATATCGACGGAGATTTCCGATGAGTTTTGTCTAAATGAGTCGCGAGCAGCATCCAGCAACAATCGACAAGCGATGGACCAACGAGTTCCTGCAATTAGCAAGCGATTCCAAGCACATGCGACGAGCGACGGACCTCAGCTCCAATGAGTCTACGGCAGTAGACGACAATTTCACTGTAGTTATATATGGTTTTACAGATATGAGCATACACAAATGAAAATCTGAGCAAAGTAGATATTTTAAATGAGCTTTTTGATTTTTTCGGTACTCATTTCGTAATTTATGTATGCTCATTAATATTGGTGTAATACTCATTTTAAAATGTCATATTCATGCATATTTCAAAAGTATAATATTTTATGAAATTTCACATATTGAATTCATACGAGTTCATTGAAGATATTTTAAATAATAAGAAAAACGGAGTGAATGATAAGATATGAAGCCAATATTGCTATGCTCATTATTACACTCTTAATACTTAGTAGAATAGATCGGTTGCTCACTAAAAATGTACTAATGTTCATTTAGCAGAAGCTGTGAATTTCATTAAATTACTAAAATGTCACCGCCTGTACGATGCTCACTGTACAGCCGCTAGTACGGTATAGGTTTCCGAAGTACGATATATACGGAGTATATAAATTCAAGATTTTGTTGTAGAACCAGTATCACCGAATTATGGGCAAAGTTATTTGGTTTAAATATGTTTTTAGTCTCTAGAAATATAGCACATTTTGTTTTACATCCCTGCAAAATTACTTTTTTGTTTTTCGTCCCTACAATTTAGGATGGTTTTCGTTTTAGTCCATCACTAAGGATAGCAATCTCCGTTTGACCTCGAAATAACCCCGATTAATAGATCTCTTCTAGTTCTTTTTTTTTTGGCCAAAAAATAAGTTTTATTAAAAATTAAATAAGAACAGTACAAAATGATAATGAAAGAAACAAAAAATGCAAATGAGTGAACAACCAAAAAGGCCCCGCAAATCCCTAAGAAAAAAAAACGATTAGCTCCCCGTCAAAATGTACTAGGTTTCCCTAAAGAGATGAAGCCCCCAAAATAAAACCATTTGGAAAGCAGTTAAATAGACAAAATAACTTTACAAAATAACACCGATTAATAGATCTCTTCTAGTTCTTTGTCATCTTATTAAAAACATATTTAACTTTTATTTTTTAGAAGGTTTTTAATATATATTTTGAAAATGTGAATATCTAGGTTTTACACTGTTTTAACTCTCATATTAGCCTAAAAAAGGTTTTAAAAGGAAGAATTTAAATATCTCTAGTAGATTTATGTAACTGACAATAACTTTTTTTGTAGGTAGAGTAGTTTTAGAATTTGAGATGGACTAAAAACAAAATGTTGCATATTGCAGAGATGAAAAATAAGAAAAATATTTTGCAGGGAATTAAAACAAATTGTGTCATATTTACAGGGACTAAAATAGTATCTAAGCCAAATTATTTATACTTTTTATCATTGACACTCTATTTATGGAATCTCACTTGGTGTATACTTCTTTGTGTACACCTTAGAGGTTTAGACACACTCTCTTTATTCTTTCTTTCATCTTTATCGAAATATCTTTCATCATTATCATCTCCCATTTTCACCATTTTTCATATTCAATCATATTGATCACCTCCCATATTCACTACTTTTATTTTACTCATCTCCCTTTTTAACCACCCCCATCTTCGTCCTACTTCATCATCATCTTTCACAGTTGGAAAAATTAGTCCGGGTTAGAATTATTGTCAGAATTATTGTTTGTGCTTTCGGTAAAATATCATCGATGTCATCATAAATTTTGATCAACTTTTTCTATGTGGAACAATTTTTTACTTAATACTCCGTAATTAGTAAATATCTATAAAATTATGTCATAGACAAAAAAAATTGAAAATCGGATTTTACTAACAAGTAGTCTTTGAGGCAGTTTGGCATACAGATTTTTTTGGCTTATCAGGCTTATCAGTCAACTTTTCCATCAAATACGTTACTTTTGCTTTTGCGCGCTGGATTGTGTAATAAGCAGAAAAATTAAGGTTGAAGCTACTTTTCTGGCTATATTGGCTAAAGTTACTGTAGATGACCATTTTAGTAATTTTGCATATATATTTTTTTTTTTATTAATAAAATATAATTTTTTCTTAAATCAGCAGAATCAGCCATGCAACCACTTCAGCCGGAACTTCATAAATTTCATCAAAATCAGCCAAATCAGTCGATATTCGTGCTACCAAATGGCCTCTTTGTGTACTCTGTATTATATTAATATTAATCAATACTTCCTCCGTCCCCTTTTAAATGTCCCATTTTACCATATTGGGATGTCCCTATTTAATTGTCTCATACCCTATTTGGTAAAAATTAATCTTACTTTATTCTTACTTTATCAATTAATATCAACTACAGAAACTCATTTTTCTTAAAACTCGTGTCACCACGCAATATTTTCACTTATTAAAAACTTTAAATTTAAATTACGGTTATTAATTTTTTGATGTCACTTCTCAAACACAGTTGAGTATCATTAAACGGGCGGGTCCCCTTATCGATCTTACCCTCGGCTACGAACATTCTAGATCCGCACACTCCTCCAAAACATCCAGGCAATATGCGGTGCCCGAAAATAGATGCACCCAAATCCAGTAGCAAAATATCCTATCCTCCTTTCTTCCAGAACCTTCCACTCCTTCCCTCTAAATATCCCCCAACCGCCGCCATTTTCCCTCAAAATCCCCAAATATAGCAACACCTACTTTCATCGAAACAGAACTAATCATCTGAAGGGAAAACAAATGGAAACTGTAATAGTGAAGCTCGAAGAAGAGGCGCCCTCGCCGATGGAGAGATTGCACGAGGTGGGTCCACCTCCGTTCTTGACGAAGACGTTTGAGATGGTGGAAGACCCGTCCACTGACACGGTGATTTCGTGGAGCTCGACGAAGAACAGCTTCATCGTTTGGGATTCTCACCAGTTCTCCACCACCATCCTTCCTAGGCATTTCAAGCACAGCAATTTCTCCAGCTTCGTTCGGCAGCTCAATACTTATGTAAGTACCGTTGTCCGTTCAAATCCTTTGTTGAAACCGATCACTATTGGGGACGTGTCCTGTCTGTTTCTTGTCGGCTTGTATTCGCGTGATTTGCTATGATATGTGATTAGTGTAGTTTGAACAGATTCTACTTGTTCTTTTAGCTACGTATATTGAGAATTATCGGGTTGTGTTTTCATGCCAGGTGAAAATTTGATGACATCTTCTGTCTAAATTGGTTTCTTGGCTAAGTAGAAGTAATTTTTAATTTTAATCTAAAGTTAAAAATATGAGATGCTGGATGAAACCTCATATCTCATACGTAGTAAACAGTGCCAGATAAATTTAATGTAAACTGATAAAAACTTCAAAGTTAAAACACACTAGATGTTTTTACATGGGCTTGTTGGGAAGAGGAGTGCGGCCTGTAGAGCACATGTAAGGCACAGTCGGGTTGTTCACGTAGTGGTTTGATGAATTGGGAGGGGGGGGGGGGGGGGGGGATTTGACAATGGTGTGTTCATTCTTTTAATTAAAAAGAGGTTCAAGTTATTTCCATTTCCCCATAATGCTACCTCATTTGCAATCTGAACTTGACCTTACGAAAATACTTGTTTTTTTAAAACAACAACTATGTCGTGGGGAGTGGAATTGTTAAAGAAAGAATAATTGCTTCAAAAGCTACATATATATCTTGCAACCTAATGAAATGAGATGTGAATGCATTGTACTGGTATTTCCTGTGTTCACAATTCTATAATTGTTCATAAGTGTAGTCAAAGAGTTGCACTTAGTGGCTGAGGAGACAGAAAAACCATTGGTGATTGATGACTTCTACTGGCAATTATATCATTGGGAGAAAGAAGAAAAGTTAGGTCATTTCTTCTGTTTTCAACTCTTAAATTTGCTAATCATTTCTAGCTCTTATATATGTATATCTTCTATAATATTATATATCCTAAATAAATAATCTATTTTCCCACAAGCAGGGTTTTCGCAAAGTGGATCCAGATAGATGGGAATTCGCAAATGAAGGGTTTCTAAGTGGGCAGAGACATCTACTCAAAACTATCAGGAGGAGGAGGAATGTTGCCCATAGTGTGCCGCACCATGTAGCCGGTCCATGTATAGAGATAGGGTATTTTGGCATGGAAGAAGAGCTAGAGAGATTAAAGAGGGACAGGAACCTGTTGGTGACTGAAATCGTTAAACTAAGACAGCAACAGCAGAACTCTAGGGTTCAAATCACCGCAATGGAGGAGAGGATAGGGAACGCCGAGAGGAAGCAGCATCAAACAATGAATTTCTTAGCTAAAATATTCACTAACCCTTCTTTTCTCCAGCAATATCTTGAAAAGTACGGTGACGGGAAAGATCAACAGCGCATAGAGATTGGTCAAAAGAGGAGATTGACAATGTCACCACAACCAAGTGCAGAGAACTTGCAAGATGTTGCTAACTCGGCTGCAATGGAAGGAGGTGATCGGTTAGATGCTGAGCTGGCAATGGAGACTGAGATAGATGGGTTGTTTTCTACTGCACTGATGGACAATGGGTCAAGCAGTGTCATGGAGCCTCTGTCATCTTTTGCATCTACAAGTGGTGCTGAAAATGATGATGTCCCAGACAGCATATGGGAGGAACTGATGTTAGGTGAAGCACTCTCTAGTCATCAAGTGGAACAAGTGTTGGTAGGCAATGAATCAGAAGCTAATGTGGAGATTGAAGATTTGGTTGTAGAGGAGACACCAGAATGGAGCAGTGACTTTCAAGATCTTGTTGACCATATGGGGGAGTATCTTAAGTCACATCCTTGAGTATTTCTGAATCTCCCCTCTACACATTTCATTATTTTTCTGTTTTTGGTATGGTCATTTTTGTTTCTCACATTCATTCTACCTAGTTTTGCATCACTGCATGTACTGCCAACATTGCAGGTTTGGTTTATTTCCGTGTTATATGTGCATTGATCTCCAGGAGATCAAACATTCATTCGATCTTTGTATCATTCTATATATTTAATAATGGCTGCAGTTCAAGCAGCATTCTTAATTGATCTGTTTGTTTAAGTCAATTAAGTGTTTTGATCCATGGCTCCATTTTGCAGGTTAGGAAGATGCCACTATCAACTTTTTGAAGACTAAAGTAATATTTGACCGAACTAAATGTTGTCAGTTTTGTGTTTCATAGTGGGAGGAGGAACTTGTCCCCATACATAGTGGAAGTTACTAACTAGCAGTCTAGCAGTGGTTAACACTATTGTAAATTCATTTTTGGGGTGTTAACTTCCATGTGTTATTCTAAATCTAGTACAATATATTAAATTCAATGAGAATTGAGGAGTAACTTTTTTTTTTTACATTTTACGGATACTTGGAAACATCATTTTGTCCAGAAATTGAGATATGCTAAATTGAAATTATGCTTCTGCCTTTGAAACAACTACACAGAAGACGAGCATTGATTTTTAAACATGAAGTTAGTGTGTAAGACTTGATATTGTAAGGTTGGGATCGATTTGATTCTTTTATTCTTTTCAGTAATAATCATATGAAAAATGGTTAATGTTAGAATGGTTTGCCTCTAAAAAGTTGTGAAGAAATGGAGTTAACGGTTAGGATCATATTCATATGGGGCTTATTCTTCTAGTTTATTACATGGAGGAGTTCAACATTAAATGGCAAAACCCCTTGACAAAAAAAATCATTAACAAAAAGATCTCAATGAAGTAAGCAATTACAAAATTGATGTTGATGCAAAGCTCAAATTAGGGATGAACTCGGTTCGAGCCGTCCGACCCGGGAAATCGGTTCTGGTTCGAGCCTAGGCCCGAGAGGTTAAGCGGTTCCCCCTTCCCAAAAGAAAGTCCAGCCGGGCCTGAACCGGAACCGGTCCACCACTGGCTCAAATAATATAAATGCCCAATACTCTAAAAAAATGCCCAATTTATACGGAGTAATATGGAAACGTGTATATTTGTTTGACAAATTGATGATAAAGCACTATACTGAGTAATATGGAATTCAATAAGACCAAATTAGAGTCTAAATAAATTGAATAAATTACATACATATTAGGGAAAACTATCAAATAAGCCCCCTCACTCTCGAAAAAAATCAATTAAACCCCCGAACCCAACTATCAACCAATCAGACCCCTCTACTATACAAAAACATGCAATTCTGCTCTTTTGCTGGTAAAGAATGGCTGATATCCGGTAATGCTTACATGGCACCCATTTATCCTTATTTTTTATACAAAACATATGATGACACATGTTCTCTTCGTATGAAATACTCTGTATCATCAACACTCCAAAAGTCCCCCTTCGTCCTCCATGGGTGACAGAAGTGGCAAAACAAGGAAGAACAAGAAAAGAGGAGGCCTCCCATGGAGGGCTGCCAGGCATGACGCGAAAGAGGAGGGCCTCCGACATCCAACTTTCCGGACTGTCGATTATTGCGCCTTCCATGGCCGTCGTTTGTACCCGGACGTTACACCCCCATTAATGGAGTCATCACCCCCACCTAGCTATCAAATGGTTGTTGGTTCTCATTTTATTTAATAGTTTGAAGAAATTTTAGAAGAGGAATTCTCAACACCTCCATTAAGGGAAAAGAAAGTGGGAAATTTCAAAGGTGGAAGTCTGGATCGATTGAAACAAAAAGGGAGAAAGATCAACTTTACCGGAAACCGGGAGGATACCGTCTAAAAAGCTGATTTGCAAATTTTATGTGAGTATGAGGGTTTAATTGAGTGATAATTAAGTTGGGGGGCATAATTGATTTTTCTTAAGAGTAAGGGGGCTTATTTGATAGTTTTCCCTACATATTACTACTTTAAACCTTACTAATAAAATATGACCACCGTTTAAAGTGAGTTCATTACCATTAAATCATTTGACCAAGAGTACTACTAAGAAGAATTAGAGTCCGTTTGGGATCATGTTTTTCGGCTTATCAGGCTTATCAACCAGCTTTTTCACCATACACACAACTTTTAATTTTGTGCGTTGAGTTGTGAAATAATAAGAAAAAGTAATGTTAGAATTACTTTTCTGGCTCTATTAACTGAAGTTATTGTAGAAGACTATTTTAGATACTATTTCATATAATGTTTTATTTATTTTATTAATAGAATATATTTTAAATATAATTTTTTCGTAAATCAGCAGAATCAGTCAATACAGTCACTTCAACCAGAACTTCATAAACATCAGTAGAATCGGCCAGTTCTACCAATTCTAGTGTTACCAAACGGGCCATTAATAGTTGGAACAATGTGTGAAAAATTGCATTAAATGGTAATTTTGGGGCAATTTTTTTAGTGGGGTCCACTTCCAATTTGAGCCGGGTCAAAGTGGTTTCGGATTGTCCTTGTTAAGGGCTACAATTCGATATATGGTACGCTCAAAACGGATAACGGGTGAATGAGAAATTGATTCTCGAAGTTTACCCGTTAGAATGGGAAAATTGGGAAAAAGGATGGGTTTCTAGTGTGCTAATTTCCCACACCGGAAAATCCAAGGGATTTGCAAGTTGCAACCCTTTATAAAGGGACTCCCCCTTGAGGAGTTAAGATTCCTTAGGGTAAAGGCTCTCTCCACCCGCGACTTGCGTGCGCGGGCGACCTGCGGACACGAATGTCGTCCAAAAATCTATCTCTCAAGAGATACGATTAATTTTTGTTTTCTTCCTGAAACGTTTAATTTTTTCCCAACGGCAGAAGTGCTCGACCAGAACACCTCGGTATGGTGTTTTGGTGGCTCCGGAGAGAAGGCCTCGACCAGAACACCTCGGTATGGTGTTCTGGTGGCTCCGGTTAGAAACCCTCGTAGGGGTTCTGTTAGCTTCGGACATAACACCTCAAATGGGGTTCTGTTGGCTTTGGACAGAACACCTCGTGAGGTGTTCTGTTGGGAGGTCTTCTGGTCGCGTTTTGTCCGTTACAGCAATAAATGCCCAACGTTCTTATCTTTTAATGCAGCGTTAAATGGACAGTTCATGGACGATTCAATGCCCAACGGACTGGTCATTGATGTCCAACGTTCAGGTCCATTAATTCACCATTTGCACACAACAAATCCTCCTATATAATGGCTGGCAGGTGGTTTGCATCAACATACGATCTGACACGAATTCATACACTCCAAGCACGTTTTGCACCTCTAAAACACACTGCTAGCAATCTAAAAATTCCCTAAGTGTTCATACTGTGTTCTCGTTCGCTGGAACTCTTGTTTGTGTGCTCAAACACTAGTTCGTAGTCATCGTATCGTGGGAAACGATTGTTGCAACGCTCCTAGCACCGTGGGAGGCAACAAATACGTTTTAAGGACATCGTGCGTAGCACGAGCTTTGACTAATTCTGCTTCATCTCCTTTCTTGTTTTTCTCTAGTCAATTTATTTAATTAATTTATTTTAATTAATTTTCTTTATTTTCCGAAACACACCCAACATTAATCTCTTCAAATTCATTTCCATATGAAGTATCGAACATATCTCGGCCGGCAACATTCATAAGTTTTGCACTATTCAAATACTTTGTTTTGACTACATTTTATATATTAATTTATTATATATTAATATTTCGAAAATATTATTAAATTCCTCTCATTTTAAAGTTTACAAATCCGATTTTTTAATTTTTTTTACTATTTAGGAATGAATGATATTAATGTTTAAACTTTTACGTTGGCAAACGTGAAAAGTATGTCATTGCAACTAAAAAAGAACAGATGAAGTAGGTAAGAATCTACTCCGTATTGTTTTAATAGTAAAATTCAGTTTTAAAAGGCTGATGTGTCACTAGCTTATTGGTTAAGGAAAATTATATTAAGGGTATGTTTGGCACAACTAGCTGAAAAGATACTTTTGTGAGCTTTTTAGTAACTGTTAGCTTTTAGTGACTGAAAAGATCTTAAAAAGAAAAGGTGATAGCTGTTTGGTAAAAAGCTGACTGTTTGATTTAGTTCGGTTTGGTATACAAGCTGTTAGGACTAATTAATACTAAAAGTCACGAGCTTTTCTCAGATGCTACACCCGATAGCATCTCAAAAAAGATGTTTTAATTTTTGAAAAGCTCTTAAAAAATGTCATGTCAAACATACAACTACAGTCTTTTTAAGGTCTTTTAAGGTTTTAGGCTTTTGTGTGCCAAACATGGCCTAAAACTCCTCTATTAGAACATTTAATTTAAAATAACGAATGATGCAATTTGAGTTGTAATAGAACTCCAATTTAACATACGTGAATGGCTCTCAATTTTCATATATGGCTAATTAACGTGTGTTGACTCCAATTTGGATACACAAAAAAATTAATAATGACACCACTCAGTAGGACTGTAGGACTCTGAATCCTATTATCACTTTATAACGTTTAATTTATATGTACATTTAATACGGAACTAATAAATTAACTACTTTAATTTAGATATACAAAAATATACTCCTTCCGTCCCCTTTTAAATGTGACGGGAGATGGTGGCACGGGTTTTAAGAAAAGTGAGTTTGTGGGGTTGATATTAATTGATAAAGTAAGAATAAAGTAAGAATGATTTTGAGCCACACAAAGTTTACCAAATAAGGTATGGAGCAATTAAATAGGGACATCCCAATATGGTAAAACGGGACATTTAAAAGGGGACGGAGGGAGTAAGTTACATCATTTTCTTTCAACGTAGGACTCTACAAGTCCTAATATCATGTTACACATTGATCAAACTTGCTCTAATTTGGATATACATCTATGCGTCTATTGTTTATGTAGTAAAACTTAGTTTTAAAATGCAAAATTTTGAACATAAAAAACTTCGATCCAATTAAAAACATCCTAAAAGAGCTCCTAAATTTAATAACAACTTATCAGTTTATTCAAACATAAAAAAGTACGTCTTTTTTATGGGATACAACTTAATTATATTTAACTTTCATAAGTTATACTACGTATATAGTTGCTAATAGTTTAATTATCTGAATAATTAAGAGGTATGCCTCTTATGGAAAGGTTTTGGTATAACCCCCCTTTTCGAATGTATTTTTCAAATTTTTAATAAAATAATGACAAATGTTCCCCGGCATTTGCCCCACTAATTTAGGTGGTTTGCTTACCGGATTCAAAAAAAGTTTAATTATCTGAATAATCATTTAAATGAGTAACCTCTTAAACACTTCCTAATAAAGTTACAACTACTATCTCAATACTTTTAGAAAAACGTACAATAAAGGTATTTTTTATTTGAACCGTTTTCAAATAAGGGCATGTGGTTCATTTTTTCACAATGTGGAGGATGTGCTTTTACATTGCGGGTTGTCGTCTAAACCTGAAACGTCATAAAAAAGAAGACACGGCGTGGATGAATAGAAAAGTGACACGTCACCTTTTAGACATAAACCTTCAAAGTGAAAGCACATACTCCATTTTGTGAAAAGTGAGGC